GCGCCTGCGCGTGTTCGCTGTCGGCAGCCTACAGACCGCACGGCCAACGGACTCGGACGGGGAAATAACCCAGTCAAGTTGTGCTAACTTGCAGCGATCTGGAAAATGTAGCGACATTGGCCATACTTGACAGACTGCAGCTGCATTCGTGGGGTTGCCCTTCCCAGATCGGATGCGGGGCGGGAAGGAAAGTTGCTGCGGCCTGAGGAAGGCGGCGCCGCGCTGGGAGCGGAGCCGGTCTCGCTCCGCTGGGCGACGCAGTCACTGGCCGGGCGCTCGTAGCCCCACGTGTTACTGCCTCTGCAATAAAGGACTTGTCCACGTCTCCATCTGGGCTGTGGCGAGGCTCGAAGCAGATAAAAGACGGGAAGGCTGATAGAAGAAAAAAGATGACATTTCCCCGGGAAACGGTTAGGGATTCGAACAGGGAAAGAGGATTCAGGGATCAAAATCCTTCGAATGGGACACAGGGGTCTTTTCTGGAAATTCCAGGATCGTTAATCAAAAGTGTGTCTTGAGGCTTCTCCATGTAATTGTCACTCATATCAATCAGCTGCAGTTTATTTCCCCAAACATCCCAAGTGCTGAGGCCGTGGACACAGGACGAAGCAAAGAAACTCCAACAACTGAACTTCTCTGTGTTTCAAATGTCCTGCAGTTTTGTCTCCGTGGTCAACAACCCCCAAATTCAGACTCTAGATCTACTTTTTTAATTTTAAAATGTACTTTCCCTTTCATTTCCTTCTCTCTATATTTGTTTGTCTCCACGCTCTCATCTTTTTGAGATGCATTTACTTCTTCACAAATTACAAAATGTGCTGGGTGCCAATCACTGATGTGTGAGCGGGAGAAACAGAGAAACAGCCACTGGCATGGAGAGAGTCATTTTTCAAAGTAACACAGTCACATATAATTACAAATCATAACTGCTTCCCTGAAGGAAAGATACAGTGTCACTGGAGACTGTTACAAGGACAACCAACACAGCTTGTATCGGGGAGCAGCTCTCTGAGGAAGTCATAGCGAAGTTAAATCTCAGCTTTCTCTAGGTTCTGAGACATGCATCTGGGCCCGGGCAGTTTATTTGAAAGGTTGATCCAGAAAACTGGAGAGAGGAAACGGTACTAGGACGGTGCTCTCTGGAGGGCCCGTGGGGAATGCAGCCTGAAGGCCGGAGGTGGACATTTTTGTCTGACTTCTATCCCTCAATGACTGACACTTGCTCTCCCCCTGCCCACCCCAGGTTCCTCCCGCGGAACAGCTCCCAGGCCTCCAGAAAGGCTGGGAGGCAGAGCAGCAGGGTTTGAGGTGCCAGCAGAGAGGGCAAGGGTGCTGTGCCACAGAACCAGAATGATGTCGGAGATCGCTCTGCCAGCGCAGGCGTGGGATTCTGGCAAGAAAAGAGTGAGGCAGGGTGGGGGACCAGGCGGAAGAGCAGGCTGAAGATTGGGGGGCTGGAAGGACTTGGTGCTGTGAAGTTGGAGTAACCAGGACAAAGTGAGCGAGGGGAGAGTAGCATGAACGTGTCTGCAAATGGGTGTCAGGGGGTTTAAGAACATTTAAGAACTCTGAATTATACCCTAGACAATGAAATGTAATGTAGGATTTCGAGCAGGGAAATAAGATGTTCTGCATAATGGTGTCGATTGCGGACAAAGTTTTATTTCTCCCTTCCCAATCTATATACTTTTCATTTCTTTTTCTGGTCATATTGCATTAGCTAAGACTTCCAGCCTGATGTGGAGAAGGAGTGGTGGGAGGGGCCCCGATGGCCAGAAGAGCTTCCAATTTCCCATTAGTGTGATGTTAGCTACAGGGTATTTGCCTATGTTCTTCAAGTTGAAGTCCCCCCTCATTTCCTAGTTTGGTGGGTGTTTTTATCATGCACTTTGGATTTTGTTGAATTATGTCAAATGCGTTTTTTGCATCAATTGATATGATCATGTGACTTTTCTTTAGCTTGTATGTGATTCCATTCATGACGTTTGAAGGGCAGTGAGTTCTAAAAGATCACTGTGGCTGCCCTGAAGAGAAGAGGTGGAGGTGGGTGGGAGGAAACAGGTGTGGAATGGGTGAGATCAGATTTGAGATGCCTGGAGAACTAGTTAGTGACCACGAAGATGTGAGCTGGACAGAAGTGGGAGATGTTGCAGGTGGGATACATTGGGTGTTATTTCCTGGAGGTTGTGAGGGAACAGGCAGAGAAGGGTGCACAGGGAGTCCCAGGTCTGGCTCCACAAATGGGCGGATGGTGCTTCTGGGAGACCACTGTCACGCACACTGGGACTGAGGACGGGGACTGGTGACGTGGGCTCCTCGTGACTTCAGCAGAGCAGCTACAGCACAAGCAGGTACATGCAGGCCACACAGGGCAACAGAGTCGATTTTAGGTGACACGTGGGGACTGACTTTGTCATCAACTCTTTCAGAGAGTCTGGGTGTAAAAGAGATTAAAGAAATGAGACTGGAAGAAAATATGTGCTTCCTGGAGAGATTTTATTGTCAGGTTAGAAAGTCCAGAGTAGAGCTGAAAGCTGGTGGGGATTTTGAAGGATAGAATAAGTTCACATTCAACCTAACTAAGGATCTTATCCAGCATTGTTTCCTTCTCTTCTGCACCAGTCACTTTTACAAAATACTATATTTTAGAGCATTTTTAGGTTCACAACAAAATTGAGGTAAAGGAACAGAGATTTCCTGTATACCCACCCCCCAAAATGCATAGCCCTCCCATTATCAACATCCCCACCGTATAGGGCATTTGTTACAACTAATGAACCTGCACTGACATGTCACTGAGTCCACCAGAGTCCACAGTTTACATCCCAGTTCACTGTGCTGTACGTTCTGTGGATTTGGACAGATGTGTGATGACATGTGTCCATCATTCTGGCATCACACAGAGTAGGTTCACTGCCCTAAGACCCTCTGTGCTCCACCTACTCATCTGCCCCCCACCTGCCACAGTCCTGTGACCACTGATCTCACTGTCCCCATGGTTCTGCCTTTTCCGGGTCGTCACAGAGTTGGAGTCACACAGTGTGGAGCCTGTCACTTAGTAACAAGTATTTCAGATTCCTCCACATCTTTTGTGGCTTCCTAGCTCCTTTCTTTTTAGCCGAATTAACATCCCATCATCTGGTTGTCCCGTTTACCCACCACCTATTGCAAAAAGAACGTCTTGGTTGCTCCCAAGTTGGCAATTATGAATGAAGCTGCTATAAACATTGTGTGCAGGTTTTCTGTGCACATGCGTGTCCACCCCGCCTGGCTTGCTGGGTTGCACGGCAAGAGAATAGCTTTGTAAGAAACGGTCAAACTGTCTCCCTAAGTGGCTGCCCATCTACATCCCCACAGCAGAGAGTGAGACTCCCGCTGCTCCACATACCCCCCCGCACTGGGTGTGGTCACTCTAACAGGTGTGTTGGGGTGTCTCCTCCTGCTTGCAGTTGCCTGATAACAAGGATGTCGACTACCTTTTCATCTGCCTTTTTACCATCTTGTATCCTCTTTGTTAAGGTCTTTGGTCCATTTTGTAATCACGCAGTTTGTGCTCCATCACTCGGTGTTCGATCTCAACTTGATCGGTGCTTCCGCACGAACTGGCTGTGTATGGAGCTCAGTTTTTTAAACCTTTTGATTATATGTGTATGTGGTGTGTGTTGTCTTTAAAAGCCCTCCGGCGACTGCCCACACTTCCCACCCCAACAGAGCGCTGCGTTCAGTGTGCAGCTCTCTCTGAACTCCCACCAAGCCTTCGCCTCCACCACTCCGACAAAATGACTGTAATCAAGGTCAACAGTAACCTGCTCTGAACGAATCCCATTGTCTGTGATCAGTCCTCACCTTACCCCGTCGCATCATTCCAGACAAATGACTTCTATGACTTGGCTTCAGGACAGCTCAGGGCACCCCGCCACCAAGGATGACCCGAGGCGCCTCTGTCCTCAGAGAATCCCAGCCTTCCGGTCTCCAGACCACAAACCCGGGGCCATTGCACACTTTTCGGCCACAGCCCACGCTCCATCAATCAGAAGTCTCTTTTACTTCGTCTTCAGATACATCCAAAATCCAGCTCCCTCTTCCCACAACTGCCCGTGCTAGGCAGCCACCCAAGTCTTTCTCCTGCAACGGACTCAACGGGGTCCCTGCGCCCCCCACCAGTCTACTCTCGGGACAGAGGCTGGGGGGCGCTTCCCGACGTCAGGTACCGTCCCTCGGTGCAACGCCAGCCCGACTCCGCGTCGCCCGCCGGACAGCGGGAAGCTGACGCAGGTGACCTGGCCCGCCGTCCGGGACCGCGTCTGCCCTGCCCTCGCCCCGCCGCCCCAGCTCTGGCGCTGCTCCCCCCGCCCCCTCCCCCCGGGGCCGCGCGATCTGCTGCCCCTGCCTGGAGCCTGCACAGCCCTGGGGCTCCCCGAGCGCCCGCCTCCCCCGGGGCCCCGCCTGCGAACGCCGCCCGCGCACCCCACCCTGCCACCCGCCGCTCCCGAGGCCCGGCGCCGAACGGTGCCCGCGCACGCTCGCAGATGCGCGCCCGAGAGCTGTGCCGGGCACGGGGCGAAGAGCGGACCTGGGTCCCGGCAGGGCCAGGGCGGACGCGAGCGCGGGCGGTGCCCCTGGCGGGAGCCTTGCCCAGCTGTGCCCGCGGGAGGAGGGCCTCCGAGCGGACGCGGCCCCTTGGCGCCAGGCCCGCGGCGCTTCAGGACGCCAGGCCAGGAGGGCGCCGAGCGGACCCTCCCAAGGCTCCCGCCGGCGGCCCGCTGAGCCCGCTCGGCCCGGACCGCTCGGCAGCTGGGTCCCGGCGCACCCGGGCTTCAGTCACTTTCCTCTGAGCGTGCGCGGAGCCAAGGCGCCTGGAGGCCACGCCCACAGCTCTCACAAGAGCCAATCCGAAGCCAGAGCGCGGCTGACGGACACCAGCGGCAGAGACCGTGGGTCCGGACTGGGCACGCCTGCCGTTGTGGGCGGGCCTATGGGGCGGATACGGAAGCGGCCCTGGAACTTGGCCGCGCAGGGGTCGGGGGTCGTGCGATCCGCATGGCGGCGGCGCGGAGGGGCGGTAGGTGGTCCGGGGCCCGCGGGGGAGACGGTCCGGGGATCGCGGGGGGCGGGGGGCGTCCTGGGGCCGTGGGGGTGGGGGTTGGTCCGGGTGCTACGGGGGCCGGTCCGGAGACTACGGGGGTCGTGGGGGGCGTCCCGGGGCCGTGAGGGCGGTAGGCGGTCCGGGGGCGGCGAGAGGCTGCGGGGAGCGGGGGCGGCCTGGGGTCGTGGGGGGTAGGCGGTCCGGGGGTCGTGGGGGGCGGGAGGCGGTCCGGGGTCGTGGGGGGCGGTCCGGGGGCTGCGAGAGGCTGCGGGGAGCGGGGGCGGCCTGGGGTCGTGGGGGGTAGGCGGTCCGGGGGTCGTGGGGGGCGGGGGGCGGTCCGGGGTCGTGGGGGGCGGTCCGGGGGCTGCGAGAGGGTGCGGGGAGCGGGGGCGGCCTGGGGTCGTGGGGGGTAGGCGGTCCGGGGCTCGTGGGGGGCGGTCCGGGGGTCGTGGGGGGCGGTCCGGGGGCTGCGAGAGGGTGCGGGGAGCGGGGGCGGCCCGCTCGCAGACACCGCTCTCGCCCAAGTCCTGCCCCCCCACCCCGCCCGACGAGGCTGCCGCTGTACGTCCGTCCGGGATCCGCAGGCCCAGCCCTGTGTCCAAGGGGCTTGGGCGGGGGCCCATGGCCGGTGGGAGCCCCAGGACCCGCCGGGCCTTGCGTGAGTACACGTGGGATTTGCAGATGCTCCGGATGGCGGGTGCGCGGACCTGCACCCCTGACTTGCTCTCCTCACCTGAGCCAGAGCGCCGGCCTCTCTGAGCCTGTTGTTCGCTGTGGAGCAGGCGGGACCTGCGACGTGCGCACATTGCAGGACGCACGTGTCTGTTCCGTGACCGTGCCCGTGCCCGGTGAGCCTGGCGGCGCCCTGACACCGACCGTCAGGTGCGGGCCGACCCGGGGGAAGCCGGCCGCGCGAGAATGGAGAAGGAAGGCCGGGCCCGTCCAGCTTTGCCGAGGGCTGTGGCCGGCGTGAGTGCGCGCAAACCCTTAGCCCTGCGGTTACCGCAGGTGGTTCCCGGCCGGCCGCTCGGAAGGTCCGCTCTCGGCAGCTGGCGGAACAGCGTTGTTCCCACCTCCCAGGACCTGCCCACTTCATGTCAGTGTTGTGCCTTGTGACCCCTTCACCCGTCCTGCCCTTCCCCCAGCCCTGGCCTCTGGCAAGCACCCGTCGTTTTCTGTGTCGGTTCAGTCTTGTGTTTGGATCCCACTACCAGTGAGATCATGTGGTCTTGGTCTGGCTTGTCTCACCCGGCACGATACTGTCCTCCAGGTCTGTCCCTGTGGTCTCAGACGCCAAGACTTCACTTCTTTACGGCAGAAGCAGCTCCACTGAGTGCACGTGCCCCGTGTTCTTGCTCCATCCGTCCACCAGTGGACGCTGGCGTCGCGTCCGTGCCTCAGCTGTTGTGAATAATGTTGCAGTGGACGTGGGGGTGCAGATGCCTGTTCATGTTAGTGTTTTTGTTTCATTCAGATCAATAACCAGAAGTGGAATTAATGGGTATATGGCAGTTGGCTCTACTTGTAATTTTTTGAGGAACCTCCATACTGTTCTCCATAGTGGCTGTACCAATTCACATTCCCACCCACAGTGCACAAAGGTCTTGTCCATGTCCACCCTAACCGGTGCTATCTCACTGGTTTGGGTTTGCACTTTCCTGATGAAGAGTGAGGGGTAGCACCTTTCCTGTACCTGTTGGCCACCTGTATGTCTTCTTTGAAAAGTGTCTATTCAGATTCTCCATCCGTTTTTTAATTGGATTGCATGTTTTTTTGCAGTGGGTTGTGTGACTCCTTTATACATTCGGGATATTAACCCTTATCAGATACATGACTAGCGAATGGCTTCTCACGTCGAGGGTGTTGCTTTTCCGTCTTGGTGGCGGCTTCCTTGGCTGACGTAGTCCCGCCCGTTCATTTCCGCCTTTGCTGCCTGAGCCTTAGTGTCGAGTCCAAAAGCTTCGGTGAGGCGTCAAGGAGCCCTCGGTGCTCCCCTCCAGGAGGCTCACGGTTTCAGGCGTGTTGCTCACGTTACTTGGATTAAACCCTGTGATTTTTTTTCTTCTCCACATTTAAAACACAGGATTGCGTTTTTGCCCTTTGCAATGAAAAGCCGAGTGGTAACTATAGTTCATAAGCATTTGTTTAAAATAAGGAAACCAATTTGTTAACCAGACAGAATATGAGGAAAAGTGAGTATAGGTTCCACCGCTGTGGCTGCCTCGTTGGGGAAACACTTTGCTGGTGCACCCCTGCTGCTCGGGGTGCCACTGAGTCATGGCCTTCACTCACCTGGTCAGGTGTCAGGCCCCAGAATGAGCATGCACAGGTGTTAGTGATGCCGCCACGTCTCAGACCTCACTGTCAGCAGGGTTAGCAGGCTGTGCGGTCACATGCTGAGGGTTCTGGGAGCGGGCCTGACCCCAGGGGCTGTCACGGGTCTTCATGCCGCCCGACACACCCCCTTCTGCTTTCCTGCGTTTTGATTGGGGGTTCCCTCTACTTCACACTAGGTTTTCCTTGTTTCTCTTTCTCCTTCCTCGTTTCTGACATTCAGTGCTCTGCCCTGGACAGATCACTATCATCTGGGATACACCTGGTCACCTGGTCTCCTTTTTTTTTTTTTTTATCCTCACCCGAGGACATTTTTCCATTTTTTGTTCAGGTAGAGTGGGAGGGAGAGAGAGGAACAGAGAGAGAGAGAGAAACATCGATGTGAAGGGACACATCGAGTGGCTGCCACCCGCACAACCGACCAGGGCCGGGGACAAACTGCAACCGAGGTACGCGCCCTTAGCAGGAACCGAACCCGGGTCTCTCAGTACCGCAGGCCAACGCTCTAACCGCTGAGCCAAACCGGCCAGGGCTCTTTTTTTTTCTTAATCCTCACCTGAAGTGTTGATTTTAGAGAAAGGAAGGGAGAGAGAGAGAAACATCGGTTGGTTGCCTCCCATATGTGCTCCACTGGGGACCAAAGCTGCAACACAGGTATGTGCTCTGACCAGGAATCAAACCCACCACCTTTCGGTGTACAGACGATGCTCCAACCAACTGAGCCACACTGGCTAGGGTTATACCTGGTGTACTTTTCAAAACCTTTGTCAGCTCACTGAATTAAGATGATTGAAACCTTTTTCTGGTTTTCATCAGTCAAGAAACATCTTGACTTCTTTTCCTGTTGGAAGTGTGACAAAATTGTGGAGTCGAGTTAGGTTATTTGAGCACATTGTGTTTGGAAGCTTGGGTTAATGAGTCTTGAGAGTGCAGGTGTGAGGGACAGTGTTCATGTGGGTCACCTCCTAACGGTCCTGATGAGCCCTTGGCTGGGGCGGCGCGGGCCCTGAGTCACACCCACCATCTGTGGTGGGAAGAGACCTGGGCACTGGGACTTTGAAGTGTGAGTCCGGAGCCCCCGTCTAACATTTTCACCCCTGTGACTGTGCTGACTGTGACAGTTAGGAAGCTGTGTGACGGGTGGCGGGGTGGTGGCCTGGCAGACTTGCCTGCCTCCCTCCTCACAGTCCAGCTGCTCTCCAGGAACACGGGGTCCCAGAATGGCAGGGAGGACAGAGGCCATCTGTGCATCTGTGGAAAGGAAGCGAGCGTGGAGTGGACACATGCGGGACTCACTTAGCGCTCGTCCATGCAGCCAATGGCATTGCGCGTCTGCTGGCGGGAGTGAGCTCCTGTGACACTGGGGCTGCAGCCCGACCAGACATGTCTGCTCTGGCAGCTGGGCTGCCCCTTGGGCCAGGGGAGGGGCTGCCTCGGGAGCAGCAGTCTCAGTCTCGGCCGCAGGTCCAGAGGGCGCTGCTCCCCTTGCACGGGGCAGTGCAGTCGCTTCCTGTGACCATCTAGCACAGCTCTTCGGGGTGACTGGGAAGGGCGCTTCGACTTGGCAGCAACTCTCCTCCAGTAGCAAGTAATTTTTTTGAAATGTACTCTGTCTCGTGCTGCAAAGTCTGTCGCTGGTTCTGGAGCATGTCTCTTGGCCAGAGTTCGGGAAGCTCTGGGAGGTCACTGAAGTGAACCGGCGGGGCCCACCTCCCAGGGGTAGTTCAGTGGCTTCCTTCCTCGGGGGCATCGGGTGAGAATCGGACAGTGTTCAGGACCAAGTCGGGTGGGCCCGTGGAAAGTGCTCGGAGGAGGCAGAGCAGCAGGAACCTGCGCTGCAGTCTCAGCACTGGGAGGGGAAGGGTCTCGGGACCCGGGCTGTGAGGCAGCGCCTGCTGGCGGCTCGGTGCTCCTGCTGCGTTGTGTCGGGCCCCTCGCCCCGCGCTGGCCCTCGGTGGCCGTGCAGTTAACGCTGGAGTGGGTGACCTAGTGCAGCCTTCCTGCCGCCTCCCCCCGGGCCCCCTGCCCTGTCCAGGCCCCTGTCCGCAGGAGCGCGTCCGTCTGGAGGAGATCTGCCCACTCCCCTTGCAGTTGCGCAGCTTCACGGCGGCTCCTGTGTCCTCTCGCTGCCCCCTGCTGCTGAGGCCACTTCCGGACGCTCACAGGACGGGCAGGACTTGAGTCCTGGAGGCACCTGGGAGGCTTGCTCGCCGAGGATCTGGGCCAGCAGGAGACGCTCGGCTCCTGAGGCTGTTCTCACTCTGGCTCCTTCGTGCCAGGCGACTGGTGGAGAGGACTCGTGTCCAGCACGCCCCCCTCTGGGACAATCTCGGAACTTTTCAATCATGAGACTTCTCACCAAGAGGGGCGTAGCAATCCAGCCTGGTGGCTAAAGGATCACAGGACACGGCCTTCCACTGCAGACCTTGGCATTGGAGGTCCCCGGCCGTCTGCACCGGCACCCGCTGTGGGTCAGGCAGGCAGAGGCTGATGGGCTCGTGTGCTGTGCAGGTGGTCTGGTTGCTCTTCAGTGATTTGTTCTTGCAGGGCCTCCTGCCTGTGTGAGGGCCGGGCCGGGCCCTCCTGGGACCAGGGGTGTGGCAGCAGGAGGAGGGCTGCCTGAGCCTGCTGGTCCTCCAGGGACCCTCCGATGGGCTCACACCTTCAGTGGGGCTCTGCTCCGTCTCCGTGCCCTGTGGAGGGTCTGGGGTCAGCGTGGTACGTCCGTACTGTGGGCTCGCCGTGGCTGGCCGCCAGTGCTCTTCCCGAGGCGTGGTGGTGGGACGGGTCTCTGTGTCTGCACGTGTGTGTGTGTATGTGTCTATATCTCTGTGTGACTCTGTTCGTCTATATTTCTCTGTGTGTGTGTGTGTGCGTGTGTGTCTCTGATGTGTATATGTGTCTATCTCTGTGTGTGCATGTGTGTGTATATGTGTGTGTGTATGTGACTAGTTAATGACAGTAAATGCTACTAAAGAGCCCTGTAAAGAAAAGTTTTGGACAAAGTTCAGAATACGTATTTTTCAAGTGTTAAAGTTTTGGGAGATAATGAGTATTAGTGTACATCTGCTTCGTCCATGGGGTTACCACATCAGACTGGCCGGTGTAAGATTCTAATTATGTCCTGTTTGAATACTATTTTTCTTTTAATTAATATTTTAGAAAGTTGGCCAACGTTTTTTAAAATCTTAGCTAATTCTTTTTCTATTTGAAATTCTATCACGGAGCCTGTGAGGAAGCTCTCGGGTGGAGTCACACACCGATCTGAGCTCCTCCTGGCCACCTGTGGTACTGTGAGTGTCCTGACCTTGTTGGGGACGGAGCGGGACAGGGCGCCCTGAGCGGCTTTTGGGACAGCAGTGGGCAGGCTGACAGGCGTCCGCAGGCCAGTGAAGTGGAGAGAAAGTCCACGTTTCAGGAGCTGCAGTACTGACGACATTTAAATGCAAAGTGGCTCTTAAAACAAGACGCGCAGACCTCGGGTGGGGGTGGGGCACTGCCAGCGCGGCTGAGGCCAGTTCTCCGGCATCTTTGATGTGCCGGTGTCCTTCCTTTCCGTGGCCATTTTTCCTTTAACTGTGATTTCAAAAAGCCAGCAACTCTCGTTTCAGATGCCAGGTAACCCCTTTTCCATTCACGAGTCTGTGAGATGAGCCGTCTGCCCTGTTTCTCTTTGTTGACGCTGTGGGCTCTGATTCCCAGGGGGTCCCTGTGAGTGGGGTGCTGCTCCCATCAGCCTCTCCTCGTGACACAGGTTCTGATCTAGTTTTGCCCATGTCCCCACATTAGCTCTACCTGTGTCTGTGTTCCAGACCCGCTCGCGCAGACACGTGCGCACCAGGGGTCACGGCGGGGTGAGCTGCATCCCCAGGTTCGGCCCTGCGAGGCGCTCTGAGGGGCAGGATCAGGCGCATTGCGCACAGACATCGAGGGAACGCGTGCTCCTCTGAGTCTGAACTGTTTTCTGGAAGAGAAGACTTCATGGCTCCGTAGGGTGACTGCTCACTGCTCCCCAGGTGCCTGTTCCCTGCCAGGTGGTTTGCAGCTTCCTTTGCTGCAAGAAAAGTGCAGAGTGCAGCACAGTCGGTCGTGGAGGGAGGATCCCATTTCCACTTCTTCTCTAAGAACATTTCAGGTGCCTGCCCTCCCAGCCTCCCTGTCCAGAGCTTCTCAGGCTGGGCCAGGCTGGAGGGCGGGGCTGGAGGGCGGGGCTCGTGCCCACCTGGTGCTTCACCTTCTCTCCTGCCAGGAGCTTGGCAGACTCTTCACCAGCCTCCGCCCAGCTTCCGCTCCACCAACACAGCAACAGAAAACAGCACCTTTGTGAAAAACAGAACAAACTTCTCTTTTTTTGTCCCCGACTGTTAGATTCTAAATCAGGTAACTGCGCTGAAGAGCTTAGCAGTGAGTGGGTCTTCCAGAGTTCCAGGTGTTCTGTGCTGAGGCTGAGTGTGTGCAGCCTGTTCTAGGCGTCCGGTTTCCAGAGAGCACAACTGGAATTTGTCTTTATGTGGCTCGTGTCTAAATTGAAACAGCAAGTTCAGACAGTCCTGTCTGCTCTTCTGTTTTCTGGTGATTGCTTTCTGACAGTCACCAGAGCTTCTGCCGCAGGGAGGGGACGTGTCGCTGAGGTGTGAGGTGAGGCGCTGGCCTCCTGCGCGTCCGGGCCTCGCGGTGACTCGACAGAGCTGTGTGACACCCGGCCCCTCAGGACAGGCACCCAGCTCCTTTCTGCTTTGTTCTGTATTTGAGCATGCTGGAAATTAAGCACAAAAGGGACTTTTAACCTTTAAATTGTTTTTAGGCCTACATCTGTAGTAGACACGCACACACATACACACACGTGCATACGCGCACGCAGTCAAGGGGCGCATTCCAACAAGCCAGAAATGACTCCTGATTTTTAAAAGTGATGCCTCACTGTGTCCAGTGACCAGGAAAACTAGTTCTCATTTCTGTTCTGCTTTTAACTTGAGCCACTGAGCACATTTGCCCGGTAGAAAACCTGTTTGTACACAGAATTAGGTCCACGTTTATAGAAAACCGTCAGGTGGTTCACAGAGTGCTCGTTCCGTGTATAACTCTGGAGGCTCGAAGTGGCCATGAAGGTTTGAGGGGCGATGCGATGAGTTTGTTCTGCCAAAATAGCTGGTCCACGCAGATAAATATGAACTTTCAGTGACGCAGGACTCCGGTGGCTGCGCCCACGCTCTGCGGCCGCGCCGTCCCTGAGAAGCGGGGAGGTGCGCAGGGTGAGCCGCGCGCTTGTTCTGCTTCCGGGGCAGGTGCACAGGTGCTCGGTCCCACGGGTCAGCGCTGCACAGTCTCCCCACCCTGACGTCCATGGGGTGGGGGTGGGGTGAAATCCCCTGACCTTCCAGCGATATTAGTTGGTAGAAAGTAATCATCGGTCATTTAATTCTGCTTGTTACACGTTGCTCTTTCAAAACTGACCTTAAAAAACTAAAATCACGCCCTGGCCAGTTTGGCTCAGCGGTTAGAGCATCGGCCTGCGGTCTGGAGAGACCCGGGTTCGGTTCCCGCTAAGGGCACATACTTCGGTTGCAGTTTGTCCCCGGCCCTGGTTGGTCGTGCGGGTGGCAGCCACTCGATGTGTCCCTTTCACGTCGATGTTTCTCTCTCTCTCTCCCTTCCTCTCTCTCCCTCCCACTCTATCTGTACAAAAAATGGAAAAATATCCTCGGGTGAGGATAAAAAAACAAAACAAAATAAAACAAAAAAACTAAACTCACATATTTTTAAAAACACTTTGCGCTTCACATTGTGGCAGCTGAAAGAGACCTGCATATTTATCAGCAAAATACGGACATGGAGAGCCTGGAGGTGCTCCTGGTGCAGGGGGTGGCCCTGTGCTCACTGAGGGCGGCCGGCAGGGGGACAGGACCCACCCTGAGGGCAGGCCAGGCCGCACAGAGTGGGGGACATTGCTGGACCGTGGGAGCGGGGCAGGGGCTGGCCCGGGATCCAGTGGTGCCCTGACCATGGAGACGGGCAGGGCACAGGTGTGCGGGACCTGGGGGTCTGCCCCAGAAGCAGGTCAGAGCTCAGGCACTGCAGCAGGTGGCAGCCCTTCAGCGGGTGGTCAGATGCGCGAGGAAGCGTGATGCCGAGTGAACCCTGTCTGCGGGGGTGTCCGGGCTTCAGCCAGGCATGCGGTCCGAGGCCCACGGGTGGCACATCCTCTGTCCACCCTGCAGGTGTGCTGCCCACTCTGGGGGGAGGCTGAGGCCCAGGAGGTGCCCAGGAGAGGCAGACGGCTACGGGCAGCCTAATCCGACTGAGGTCCCTGGGACGTAGGCAGGACAGTCCCGCGCAAGAGGGGCGCCTGCGAACTGGCCTTGGTTTGTGTTCATGGGCCTCGCTTCCTGAGAGAGCAGCTGGAACAGGAAGTGGCCAGCCTTGGGTCTCAGGAGCTGGGCTGCATTTCGTGGAGGGTGGCATGTTGTGGGGGATGCAGGACAGAGGCGGGGGGAGCACCTGTCCTGCCCGGTGTGCAGTGTTTGCTGGGTGGTCCTGAACCCCAGAGCCTGAGGTCTCGCCAGCCGGGGACAGGCACAGCACAGGCCAGGGCGAGCCCCGCCCTGGACCTCGGCCCGTGAGAGCTCTCTGCTTCCAGAACTGCGGACTCTGACGGGGCTTGTCCACGGGGGAGAGGTCGGGTCAGGCAGAAACGGGCATTTCGAGAATGGAGCCTCCCCCAGAGCCCATGTGCAAGCACCCAGAGGAGTCGAGCTCCCAGGCCTGCACCCAGCCCAGGGTCCTTGGGGAGGTGGTCAGCTGCAGTGGCCAGGGGTCTGTGGGGATGGTGCGGGTGGGGAGTCCTGTGGGGACAGCTGCTTTGCTTTCTCTAGTTAATATTAGAATATGTGTTTGTTTAGCCCTGGCCAGTTTGGCTTAGTGGTTAGAGTGTTGGCCCATGGACCAACGAGTCGCGGGTTCAATTCCGGCCAAGAGGAAGTACCTGGTTGCAGTTGGTCCCTGGCCGGGGTTGTGCGGGAGGTGACCATTCAGTGTGTCCTTCTCACATCGATGTTCCTCTCTCTCTCCCCCTCTCGTCCTCCACTCCATCTAAAGATAAATGGAAAAAAATATTCTCGGCTGAGGATTAAAAATAAAATGTCTTTGTTTTACATAAATTCTATATGCGATTTAAATAAAACTGCCTTAAGTAATTCCTTCTCTTTTTTTGTCAATTGGTTGCATTTTAGTGTTTGTTGAAAAAGTACTGAGGAGACTTTTCCCTCATGATCCACGTGACCAAGGAAAGGAGACGTCTGTGCCGGCCGCCGCGGAGACCCTTCCCGAGAACGCGCGGCGCGGGCCGGTCCCCCCGCTGCCAGGTAAGGGCTGTAGGTGCCATGGGGCCGGGAGGGAGGCGAGGTCCCCCGACAGTCCCAAGGGGTCATGGTCACTGTGCTTTCCCTTCTCTCGTGTCCCCCAAATCCACATGGAACCCCGGGGCCTCAGCATGCGGCTTAGAGCGCGACGAAGGTTCAGTGAGGCCGTCGGGTGGGTCCTGACCCAGCATGACTGGTGTCCCTTTAAGAAGAGGGATTAGGACACAGGCGCAGAGCGGGGCCACCCTGTGAGGACACGAAGGAGACCGCACTGTGCACCCCAAGGAGAGGCCTTGGGGGACCACCCTGCCAGCACCCGGATCCCGAGCCCCCAGCCGCAGGACAGAGAACAAGTGTCTGTGGTCTGAGTCTCAGCACATGGAGCTTTGTCACGGGCCGAGCTGTGGGCGCCCTGCTCGCCCGGCCGCGGGTGGGCGCTGTTGAGACGGTGGTGCTGTGGAGAGGTGCGCTGTCCACACCAGGAGCGGCCCCTCTGTTGCTGCCCGTGGCTCTCGGATTCCACCAAGCCCAAGGTCCTCGTCACTGGGACATCGAGTTCCGGCCCGTCTGCACTCTCTCTCTCCTTCCAGCTCGGCAGCTCCGACGGCCACTGTTGACCAAGTGGCTGTTGGGGGCCGCGTGGGGAGCTGAGGCTGGTCCAGCCCTCGGCCACACTGCCCGCACGGGGCCTCTGGGCCCCGGGACCCTTCCCTGGTTGGCAGGTTCTGTTGGACAGCGTCCCGGACACGAGGGCACCTGCAGTGCTCCCTGCGAGACGCGTTGGGGTTGCACGTGATCTCAAGGAGCCTGAGCTTAAACCCAGAACATGGAAACAAAGTACCAGCCCTGGCCAAGGCTCAGTGGTTAGAGCGTCGGCCTGCAGGCCAGAGAGTCCCAGGTTCGATTCCAGTCAAGGGCACGGATCTTGGTTGCAGTTTGTCCCCGGCCCCGCCAGGGCCGTGTGGGAGGCAGCCTGTCGATGTGGCTCTATCGCATTAGTGCCCCCCCAGACTCATCTGAAGATAAACTGAAAAACGTCCTCGGGTGAGGATTAAAAAAAAGAAACATAAGGTAGTAGAAGAAACCGTGAGCCTTTTCCCTGTGAAGCTCACGCGCCACCTGGGAGCACGAAGTAGAAGATGGGTCATTGCACCTTATGAAACGTCAAGTCCCACGTGGCAACAGTGACCAGTCGCGAAGTCAAATGAAATAAACCAGAAAAGAGATGGTAACTCCTGGCGCTCACAGGTCCATCCCTTCGTCCGCAAAGAGACCGTGTGCTCCTGGGAGAACGAGCAGCTGCCCAGTGAGAAACGCAGGAGCAGACGGACGGGGCTCAGAGGGGGCCAGGGGCTCACAGGGACGGGGGGCTCACAGAGGGACGGGGTCTCAGAGGAATGGGGGGCTCACAGGGACGGGGGCTCACAGGGATGGGGGCTCAGGGATGGGGCCTCACAGGGACGGGAGGCTCACAGGGACAGGAGGCTCAGAGGGGACCGGGGGGCTCACAGAGGGATGGGGGCTCCCAGGGACGGGGTGGTGTGTGCCGTGCCTCTGCCAGCGTGAGAAAAGGCTCCTGGCCTGCTGGTGGCACTGATGGAGGCTGGCGGAGCCCACGCTCTGCCATGTGGGTCGTCCTGATGGGAAATGCGCCAACAGCTGGGTGGCAGGCGAGCGCTCAGGCCTGGCCATGGAGGCAGCACCTCGTGCCATCGTGAAAGGCTGGCTGTCCGTCCCCAGGTCGCAGGTGCCCAGGGCTCAGCAGTCACACCTGCAGCAACTTGACGTGCACATGAAGTCCCAGGTGGGCATAAGCTGTTCAGGGTTATTCATCGTGTGGTTGTTCAGGTAGCAGGAGTTCAGGGAGTGTCTGCATGTCCATCCACAGGGGCTGGCTAGGTGACGGATGCACACTGTCCCGGGACGTGGGGGGGGGGGAGACCACACAGTGTAGCCCTGGGCTGCTGGGGCCGTGGGGGGGGGGCATAGTGTGTTGTGGGCTCGCACACGGGGCCTGTGGGAAGGATGCATGAGCTGCCTGGTGGGGGGCATCCCCTGCGTCCCCGTGCACCTCGTGCTGTGACGTCAGAGCACCTGCTAAGGAAACAACAGTCCTCTGAAGTGTTCAGCTCTGTGGAGCACGAGGGGTCCACCACCCACAGCCTCACTGAAGGGACCACAGAGTGAGTTTTAACAGGAAAAATGAACCTAGAAGGAGGGACAGGATATCAGATGCAGTGAGGTCAAAGCAAATGTGTTTTCAGTCTTGGTGACGTACTTAGCTGTTAGTGATGACGGAGAAGTGATGGTTTGTGTGGCTGTAAACGTGGCACTCTCTGTGGCCAGAGGCTCGTGGGGTGGAGTCCGGGTCCAGTGGGATGGAGCTGAGGTCAGAGGGCACTGATGGGCTGCACAGGAGGAGCCATGGCTGCCGTGTTGGAAGATTGGGGAAAGGCCGCATGTCTGCAGGCGCTGAAGTTCTGCACTGAGAGGAAACATTGATGGGGGGGCCTGCTTGCCTTTGGTCAGGGTGTGGGCTGGAGGGAGGCCCTGTGTGTGGACGATTCTGCAGAAGAAGCCAGCAGATGCTCTAAAATAGCGTCCAAGGGCGCCGTGGGGGACGAGCGTTTCTGACGTTTCCCCTCATTCCCGGCAGCACCAGCTCTGGGTGGGAGCCGTTCAGCCGCCTGCCCAGGACTCGCTTTTCCAGGGGAGTTCAAGGCAGAAGGGCAGGCACAGGCGAGGGTGCCCCTGTGAGGGCCCACGGGCCGGGTGCCAGCGTGGGGCCCCTGAGGAGAGTCAGTGGTCTGTATGAAACCAGGCTGGAGTGGTCTGTCTCCCAGAAGAGCCAGGGCCAGAACGAGCAGAAATTCAGCGCCTGGATGGAAGAGAACCAGCGTCTCCAAGGTCACCACCCTCCTGTCTTCCAGGGAGCATGTGACCTCGTCAGCAGGAAGGTTCTGGGTGCCTTCTCCAGGCCTCTGCCCCGTCCCTGGGAGGCAGCAACCCCAGGGCCAGCTCAGGGTCGCCAGCCTCTGCAAGTGGAGGCCACCACGGTGCGGGTGCGCGGTCGAGTGTAACTGGCCTCCCCTTGGTCGCCACGTGAGCCACGAGTCAGCACCTACTTCGTGAAAGGAAACGTCTCAGCAAACCCTCCCTACCCAGCGGAACCGAGAGATCTCAGAACTGGAAGCGGCGGCGGAGTCCCCAGACCCCACTGTGCAGATGGCCAGAGGGAGGCCCAGGGACGGACGCCCTCATGCCCTCCCCAGGCATCTCACCTGCAGCTGAAAAGCGCAGCCTGGAGCTCAGCGCTGGCTGCTGAGCCGATGACGGGGTCTCTCGGGACCTGCGGGCTGCTCTGGCGCATCCTGGGGCCTCGCCAGGCGGTGTGTCTCCTGCCCCTCCCCCACGGTGTCCATGCCCCCCAAGGCGGCCCCTCCCCCCGCATCTCACTCCCCCTCTCCTCCTCCCCCACAGTGTCTCCTGCCCCCCAAGGCATCTCCTCCCCCCTCCCGCATCTCACTCCCCTCTCCTGCTCCCCCCCACACTGGCGTCCCCTGATTCCCCCCCCAACAGCGTCTCCTGCCCCCCTCCACGGCATCCCCCCTCCGTGTCCCGTCCCCCATCTTCTGCTCCCCCCACGGCATCCTGAGCTCACAAAGGAGGACGCAAGCAGGTTCTTTCTAAGTCCTGTGCAGCTTTCTTCAGAAAACTTCTCTGATTAAAAGCTTCCAAACAGCCCGGCTGGTGTGGCTCAGTGGTTGAACGGCGACCCTGCACCAAGAGGTCGCTGGTTGATTCCCGGTTGGGGCGCACGCCCAGGTTGTGGGCCTGATCCCCAGTGGGGGGTGTGCAGGAAGAGGCCATTGGATGTTCCCTCTCGTCAATGTTTCTATCTCTCCCTCTTCCTTCCTCTCTCTCTAAAAAACCAAAGAAAAGAAAAAGATTTTTAAGAAGTAGCCTTAAAAAAAAAAAGGAAAGTAAATAAATGAAAGCTGCAAAACATACCGCCCTGGCTGGTTTGGTTCCCTGGTTAGAGCATTGGCCCTTGGACCAAAAAGCTTCCAAACAGAACGAACAGCAGGTCTGCACATGTCCCCTCCCGACTCCCGCCAGGTGACCGCCATTGGCCACCTGGGGGCTTCAGACCGAGGTGGGAACTGGACCTCCACATCTTTTTTTTTTTTTTTTTTTTTTTATCCTCACCCGAGGACACTTTTCCATTTTTTGTTCAGATAGAGCGGGAGGGAGAGAGAGAGAGAGAAACATCGACGTGAAGGGGACACATCGAGTGGCTGCCACCCGCACGACCAACCAGGGCCGGGGACAAACTGCAACCGAGGTACATGCCCTTAGCGGGAACCGAACCCGGGTATCCCTGCACCGCAGGCCAACGCTCCAACCGCTGAGCCAAACCGGCCAGGGCTGGACCTCCACATCTTAGCTTCAAGAAGATGAAATATTTTTTTTTACTTTTTAATTACAGTTTTATTCGTTATCACTTTGTGCCTGTCTCAGGCACAGCACAGCAGTTAGACCGTCGTGTGCTCTACAGAGGGTCCCCGTTGTTTCCAGGGCCCGCCTGGCACCCCAGTCACCCCGCAGTAGTGACTGTCCTGTGCTTCACGCCCCAACTGTTCGTAAGGAACGTGAGATCTGTCTTTGGCAGAGGAATTTAAAACGTCTCAAGGTTTTAACTTGAAGTGTCCTGAAACCAAATGTCTGTTACAGGAATTAGTGATTTTGTTCAGTCCTTGTTTTTTAAAATTTTTTATTGATTTGAGAGAGAGAGGACGTAAGGGAGAGGGGACATCAATTTTTGTTGCTCCTCGTACTGAGGGTTATTGGAGCTTCCTGCAGAGCCGACCCGAATCGAGCCCGCAGCCTGGGCACGTCGGGATGACTAACCAACGGCAGCCCAGCCACTATTGTGTTTTTAATGCTCGTTTTTCTGTGAAGACTGGTCAGGCCATCCTCGTGTTTCTCACGCACAAGGTTTACTTGGCCTTATTTTGATGAGGTATGAAGATGGAAGGGTCGATGCTGCGGAAGAGTGTGGGGGCGGGGCCGGCAGAGGGGCTCCCCCTTTCGCCCGCAGCCCTCTCCGGGACTCACCCCGAGGAGCTCAGCCACCCGCAGCGGACACTCCAGGCCGCCCTGAGTAAGATGAGGACAGTGGCACATAGGCATCTGCCAGTTACACAGGTTATTATGTAGCCATTAAAACACCACAGAAATAAATACATTTTATCATATTCACTTTTGAATGATACAGTGTGTGATGTATGTTTTATAATAAAATAGGTGAGCATGATCCCATGAAGACGTGTCTGTGCACGCGGCGCGCACACCTGCGCACACACACCTGCACGCGCACGCACACCTGCACACACACCTGCGCGCACACACACCTGCACACACACCTGCACACGGTCGTCCGCACGCACGGGGCGGGGGCGGCAGAAGATGGTGCCGCGGGGGTGCTGAGACTCACGTTGTGATAATGATGGTTAATTATGTGGAGTATTTTCTGCTTTCTGCTCACTGATCAGTCATGTTGTTATATCCAAACACCTGGACGCAGACATGACGTGTGACCTGATGTGAACTGAAGCATCGCAGAGCGATCTCCCGGCCGCGCTGTTGACCGGCCGCGCTGTGCCCTCTCCTCCCGCAGGTGGCAGCACCGGGACCCCGCCGGGCCGGCGGCCCTACACCGCGACCCCGCCCCCGGAGGGCTACGCGCCCGCCCCGGAGCCGCTGGGCCCCGCGGACTCCGAGGGCTCGTCCAGCAGCGCCGGCGCCGGAGGTGAGTCCGTTCCCAGCCCTGCGCGTGGGTCCGTCCACGTTCACGCGAGGGGCGAGCCTGCCCTGTGCGGCCGGGGGGGGGGGGGGCCGCCGGGGGGGGGGGCGGAGTGTGATTTCGGCCCCTCCTGCGCCTTGGCCCGCCGCCGGGACCCCTGGTGGTGAAGTCGTGGAAATGGCAGCAGCGCTTGTCTTGGTTTCGCAGAATTTGTCTTGATTCCCGTATTTTTTTGAGAGTGTCTGGGAAGGGATGTCCGTCGTGGGAAAAGCGCATTTTGCTCTTTCGTGGAAAATGGAGCCACGGCGTCGCTCTGCCGCTGCCTGTCCGGTGCCCGGTCACGGCTGCCGCTGCGCAGAAACTTCCACCTGGAGAAGTGAGCCGGCAGCTTGGTCTCTGGTTCGTTCTTCCAGAACCTCCCCAGAGGAGTGTGCGTCTCCAACACAGTTCTGCCCGGATGCCTTCCCCCGAGCGTCCGGGAGCCCCTGCGGGGACTGACTGGCCCGGTGTGCGGAGGTGGGTCCCCGCACACTGGTCTTTCCGACTCCCACGCAGAGGCCGGGTCTCCAGCTCTGCAGGTGGTCGCTGGGGAGCCGTGGGGTCACTTTCCAGGCCTGGCTGGAGTCTCCGGGATGTGATTATGAGAGGAGTAGATCGCACATTAGATGAAGGTGAATCACTGTGGGGAGCACACGTCATCAATCACGCTGCTTGTGTGTTCACCGCACACGCGCCAGGCTCTCTCCCGAGCTGCGTGCACCTGCCCGGAGGACCCTCGGCAGGTCAGTGCAGGGCTGCTGGGGGGACCGTCAGTCCCCGACTCCGTCTGTCCCCTGCCCTGCAGGGCTGCGCTGGAGTGACGTCCTGAGGGAGGGGTGATGACAGTGCCAACCGGACACAGGTGTCTCCTGTAAGCAGTGTTCCTGACCCCTGTACCTTGTCTCGAATTACCTGTTGGCTTTCCTCAGTGACTGTTCAGAAACACTGACAGACCAGACTCCCTCTCCATGTGCTCCTCTCGACTCAGCGCCTGACTCCTCTAGACCCACGGGTCTCACTGGCTGCATCGCTGGCTCCAGGCTGATGCGTCTTCCCTGCAGGCCTTCCTGCAAGGCCGCCCGGACCCCCTCCCGCCGAGGGGCACCCAGAATTCCTGCGTCATGTGCACACTTTCCCTGGGGGACGGTTCCCGGATGCCCCTCCACAGCCCCGCCCACTGGAGGCTGCCGCCTGCGTCAGGACCGCCTACCCCCCTGCTCCACTGGACTCCTGTCAGTGGCCAGTCATTGTCCTGAGGGGCTGTCCACCTTCCCGGGGCCTCCCTCAGCAGGGGCCTCTGTTCCGCAGCCCCCACCGCAGCCGCTCATCAGCTTCCTGTGAACACGGCGGCAGGGTGTCTCCCCCACACACACTGCTCACTCGAGGTCTCGTCCTCGCCCCTCCTCCTCCTTCCGGTCAGAGTGGACGCACTGTGGGCACCGCCTGGCGGTGGGTGACTAGGGCCCCTCACAGCCACTGCTGTGGACTCACAGTCCTGCATCAGCTTCTGGGGTCCGTGCCTCTGGCTCCGGCCCCTCGCTGTGCACATTTCTATTTGCCGAGTTCTAACCCAGAGCCCTGCTCCTGACTGGGGCCTCCCTCCTCCTGTCACATGTTGACTTCACGCCACCCTCGTTTCTGAGACCTGCCCCCCCCCCCACCCTCTGGGCTCTTCCTGGCCTCTGCTGGCTGCTTCATGGCTGCAGCAGCCTCCCTCCCCGCACCGCCGTCCCTCCTCCCAAACCGTTCTCAGCCTGCTTCCCAGCCTCTCTGCAAAGGGCCTGCCCCCTGTCCTGGGTCTTGGTTATTTCTGTAACTTCCCGTCCTCCTCTCCTCACCCGACTCAGTCCCGACTCCCCAGAGCGCGTCGGGCTGGGTTCCAGTCCTGACGACGACAGTGCACCTGGGCACCTGGCTCCCGGCACTGCCAGCGCTGCCCCGAGGCCTCTGCCTGCTGGAGCCCAGGCTGCAGTCAGGTCTGGTCGGCCGAGCGCAGCAGTTACTCCGGACAGCGAGCGGGACGGCGGGCGCCGGGCCCCTAGTTCCTGAGCACGGGAGGCTCCCGCTGTGCGCACACGGTTCTGTGTTCAGACCGAGCTGCAGTGCGGCCAGCGCCCAGCTGTCCCCACAGACAGCTGCACAGGCATCGAGCTCAAGTCGTCGCTGACTTCATGGCTCTTGGAGTGTGAGCTCGTGCTTGTTCCTGGTGGGCTCGTTGAGGGTTAAACGAGGGTCCTTTCCGTGAGCTGGGACAGATCTGGGCCCTGGTCCGGATCTCGTCGTCTCTGGGCTGGAGAAACCCCGGTCTGTGGTGTTTGAGGCCCGAGGAGGCACTTCCGTGGCCCCTCGCTGGGCAGTCCAGCTCGCTGGCCAGTGTGGCGGGTTTCCCAGCAGGTGCGCAGAGCCTAGTGGACGCGCTGCACCGCTCACTCGCGGGGCCAGGACCATCGGGCAGAGTCTGCAGCCTCGTCTCCTGCCGCCTGCTGAAGGGAGGCCTGGGCACTGCCGCGTGAACGGCTTTCCCTCCGTGGCTCCTGCGGCTCCTGCTCTCCGTTACCAGGACCAAGAACATGAACCTGGACAGTGAAGGCATCTTCTCAGCCCGTGAGAGCTGAGCCTGCGCAGAGCTGACCGAGAGGACTCGGAGGGTGCGGCAGCGTCGGAGCCTGACGCGAGCCTGCAGGGCCGACGCTGAGGGTATCGAGCAGCGTGTGGGTCCCGCACTCCCTGCCTGCTCACGGGGGGTCGCAGAGGTGACAGCGCTGCTCCCCGAGCACCCAGGTTTGAGTCGCAGAGACCGACTCCTGGACTGCTGCCTTTTAACCGCCCTCACGGCATCAAGGCCCCCACAGGGCGGAAGTAGTGCAGGTGTGCACGTGGAGAGCAGAGCACGGGCCGTGGAGAACAGCGCGGAAGATGCTCTCGGGCACAGCTGTGAACTCGCTGCTCCCCCGCTGCTCCGTGTCACTTGGACTTCAAGCTCAGTTACATCCTGGAGCTGATGCAGAGCAGCGGGACCGGCGACGTGCTGTTGTCATGGCCACTTTCACACTCTGGACGCGCTGTTCTAGGTGTGGGAGCCACTGGAAAAGAGGATCCATTTTCAAAAGGCAGAGTCTCCTTCGCTCAGGCTTGGTCCAGCCGTCCCCACCCCAGAGTCCCCAGAGCCCCCAGAGCCCCCAGAGCAGAGGCCTGTGCTCGGGGCTGCCCAGCCCCTCCTCCCACGTCTGCGCCTCTCGGTCGAGTGTCGTCTCCAAGGCCAAACCAAGCACGACATCCTCCTGGCTCAGCTCCTCCTGCCCACACCCGGCCCGAGGCTTGTGCCACCTTCGGCTCCGGTGGCCTTCCCTAGCCTGGACGGGCTTCTGTCGAGAGGCCCCGTCTGTGGGCAGGTGTCGGAGGCCACAGGTCTGACCTTGCTAAGCGCTGCGTGTTAGTACAAATGTCCTGAACTTTTGGCAGACAGCAGACCACTGACGCATCGGCGTCGTCACTCTGACCGCTGACCTTCCCGAGGCCGCTGCTCTCTGTTTAGCTCCTGGAGCACACTGATCCTGAAGGCAGGCCTCCCGTGTTCGCTGTTCAGCACCGGGGGCATCGACACTGAGGGCGGGCGTCACATGTCGGCAGCCTTAGCCTGGACCCGAGTGGACTCTTCGAAAACATCCCACGTGGCCTGAGACTGTGGGGTTGGTTCTGTCTCCACTGCTCAGGACGCAGGTGCCAAACGGCGGTGCAGACGATTTTGACAAACTGGTTTCTAGAATTAGCATGTGTGAGAGGAAAGGTACGTTTTGGGGATGGCAGCTTTTCAAAATGAGTGCGCTTCTCAGATTATAAATAGTCAAACCTCTGGTTCTCTGATAAACATCTTGTCATTTTCCCGTGCCTGAGGGTCTGAAGCAGGTTCTAGCTGCTGGAGCATCGGGTCAGACCACACAGCGGGGAGGCAGCACCTCCTGTGCCCTGGACGGGGGTCTGACCAAGCTGGGGGTGAGGAAGCCACGGAGAGTGAGCACCAGGGGCTTCGCTGGAGAGGAGCCCGAGTCTGCGGAGCCTCTGAAAGGGAGAGGGCAGCGGGCTGCGGGCCCCAGGGGCCAGGGATGCCTGCTGGCTCCCCGGGCCGTCCAGGCTGCGCTCGGTTCCCGGGCTGGTTCCCGTCCAAGGACCTGAGGGCACCGCACTGCCTGTCAGAACAGTGCTGTCTGCACTGTCACGTTGATGCCTCCTCTCCGCACGGCTGCTAGACGGGGGACGAAGTTGGGGAGGCTGGGCGGGGCCACGATGTCTGGCATGAGGCAGGGCAGGGCCTTGGGAAAGTTCCGTCCTCTGCTTTGCTTCCAAGGGTGCTGGCTGCACCTGTCATCGACGATCAGGACAGGTCACCGCCGTGGGGGACGGGGCCAGCCTGAGTCTCAGAGGAGGGACACAGCCAACTCGGCCCCAGCTGTGGACCTGAAGTGCCCGGCCCAGAACAGGAACCTCAGTGGCAGCACACTGCTCACACCCGGTTGTCACCCGGACTGGCAGGGAGGTGGCATTGTTTCCACCTCGCGGATGAAGAAACAGGCCCAGAGTGACCTCATCTTGTGCTCGTGTTACAGCCGTCGTCGGTCGATCGTGTGGGGTGGCCATAGGAGTGACATTTTATTCCCAATAAAATTGCAACAACTCCTACATCCTTAAAACCACACTGTGTGTCATCACTGTAGCAACCATGCGTGTGTCTTTCCAACGCACGTCTTTGGTGCCAACTGAGCACCAGCAGGAATCCCCCGTGTGGGGTGCGGTGAGGAGGAAGCTTCGTTCCTGCAGAGGCTCCAAGGCAATGCAGCTCGGCTGTGGGGGGCCCTCTCCTGCTGACGGCTCTGCTCTGCCCCCCGCCATTCTGCACTGGTCTGCTCCCCGGGCTGAGGTCGCTCTGCCGCTGCCCGGCCCTGGGGAAACACCTTCCGGTCTCTGCTCAGCCAGGAGGAGGCCGCCCTCCCTGGTGGGAAGGAAAGTGCCCCCCAGGGGAGCTGGCTTATGTAGAAGGAAGAAGTCCTTCCCTGGTCCCTGATTGGTCCATCCTCATGCAAATGAGGACTCCAAATCCTTGCAGTTTGATTGGTCCAAAAGGCAAAAGGCACTGTCCTGATTGGTCAGAAAAGGCCACTCTGGTTAGAGCTACCAGCCCGGATCCTAGAGGTTGAAGCAGGTTCCAGGAACTGCTTCCCAAGGGCGACTGGGCAGGAGCTCAGCCCGGCTTTGCGGAGAGGCCCCCCTGCAGAAATGGCTGCTGGGCTCTGCTCTGTAGCATTTGAGCCCGTTGGCAACCTGCCCTTCTTGGTGTCTCCCCAGGGTCCACCACGTGCGCCTCTTCTCCCGAGAGCACGTGGGCTGTTAACTCGCGATGTCGTCGGTCTCGGCGTCCTTGGTAGTGTGGCTGGTCGAGAGGCCGCTGAGCATCGCTGAAGTAAATATCTCCAATTCTTTTTCTACTAAAATTACAAGACCCTAATGGAAATACACTTAGGCCGATACGCTGTGGTTCTAGCACACAGGAGGTCAGAATGTTCCTGACTTTTGTTTTGCAGATCAGGACCCTTGTGGTCAGCCGAGGAGGAGAAGGGTGAGGAGGCACCGGTCCAAGCGACGGTCTGAAGACCCCGACAGCACCCACGGGGTGCGCGCCGCGGAAGGGGGACAGCAGAGTGTCTCACAGGGGAGCCCGCACCCACAGCACACAGATGGCGCCACAATGAGCAAGAATAAGAAAAGGAAACTGAAGAAGAAACAGCAGAGGAGGAGGAGGGCAGCGGGCTCCCTCACGAAAGCCTCGGGCATCAGCTTCCTCTACGAGCCCAGGGAGGGCGGCCCGGAGCCGGGAGACACGCGCGAGGACGCGGGGGACGCTGAGGACCACGGGGACCCTGGGGACGCCGGGCAGGGCCCTGGCAGAGGCTCTGATGAGAAGGCAGATAGGATCCTCGATTTTTTCAAGTCGACACAAGAAATGTATTTTTATGACGGTACGTTTTTCCTGTTTTTCTTTTGAATAATGACATCTATTTATTGGGGGAAATAAGCAAATATAGTATAATATTTAAATGTTTAAAATAGAACTCATATTTAAATACTCAGTTTCAGAGTAAACCATTACTTTTGAGGCAAACTAAGATGATTTAGTTCTTTTCAGCAAGATCTGACCGGCACTGGCTCAGGACACAGCGCAGAGGCCTCGGCGGCGGCCTGGTCCTCCCGTGGCCTCCCCGCTGGCGTCGCCCAGGCGGGTGGGGAGATGCTGGGACCGCCGTGTCTGAAGGACAGGCAGGTGCCGAGGGGAGGTTCTGGCTGACTGGTCCGTCTCGTCGCTGTCTCCTCTAGGGCACGACTTTCTCCACCCCGCGTGGCAGGTGCTGGCGGGGTCTTTCAGCATCGGCTCTGAGTGCTGATGCGGGAGGTGAGCCAGACGCAGGCTCTGCCCGAGCGCGGTGCCTGCGCTGCAGCCCGGGTCTGGGGGAGTCGGGCGCACCCTGCCGGCGGCAGCGATGCACAGACACGGGGACTGAAGTGCGTTTCTGACGCGGTGTTGACCCCTCCCTCTGGCACAGTCGTCAGCACTTTGCACAGCAGATGAGAGCGTAGTGTCAACACCGAGGGACAGGGACGCGGTCCATGCGCCGCGGGCGGGAGCAGACCTGGAGGACGTGGACACTGCCGTGGGTCTGAGCTGCTGAGGAAAGTCCCCCAAAGGGCAGGTCTCAGAGGCTGCGAAACCACCAGGTCAGCCAGAGCCCCCCACTTCTCCGAGGGCAGCTCTGGGTGCGGGGCCGGCAGACCCTCCAGCACAGACCAGCGGGCAGAGGCCTGCTCCTCGCGGGGCCAGGCCAGCGGGTCCACTGACGGCAGGGAGGAGCCGCTCTTCCCTTCGGAGCCTTTGCCAGACCCTGAGCTGTGGGCGGTGAGAGACCAGGCTCAGGGCTTCTGAATCCACAGGGACTTGGGGCCGTCTCGAGGTCAACAAGGCCTTGAGCCGACAGGGATGGACCTGCCCCTCGAGCACAGACGCGCTCAGAACGGGGTGCAGGCTGAGGACCAACTCCCACAAACGCAGCAGACGCCCGGGACCAAGCCAGGAGCAGAGGCTGTGCCCCGCAGGGTGGGGCCCCACGCTGGAGACCAGGGGTGTAGTGAGGTGGCTGTGATCCCCACGGGGGGTGAAGGGGTGGCAGGAATTTACCCGTTGTCTTGAGTCTGTTAAGATACTGAAATGGCCGGTTTGGAGCATTGGCCTGCAGACCAGAGGCCCAGGTTCGGTTTCGCTAGGGGCACATACCAGAAAAAAAGATTGAAATGGAAATCCCAGATCTGAAAAATGTAATAACGTGAATTTAAACAGATTAGATTCAGCATAAAAGAGAATCAGTGACTGGGAGCCTGGCCCCAGGCGGACTCAGAACACGGAGGGAGAGAGAAAGGACCGGAAGGGCAGCGTCCCGGCTCCTGTGCCCCAGCAGGGCGGGAAGGTGTTTGAGGAGGTCGGACGGGAGTTCTTCCAGGTTGAGAAATGCGATAAAGCCGAAGATTTGAGACGTTGGGTGAGCTCCCAGCAGGATCGGTGCAGAGCCGACCTCAGCCTGCGACTGGAGAGGGCGGAAGGCACAGGGCCCGGTCCTGCCAGCGCCGTGTCTCCTGCGACACCTGTCGCACAGCCCGCGTGGGAGCTGTTCCCCTGGGGACCCGGAGAGGCCCTGCCCCACCGTCGCCCAGCAGCCTGTTCAGTTGTCACTGCTCAGAGTTCTGCTCCAACTGTCTCGAGGCTTTTCTATCCCAGACGCCTCACCCAAGTAGAAACTATTCTTTGTTAAGACACGAACACTGGTCTTCAGTTTGCAAGAGCCAAATGAAATGCATTTCCGTGGTCCTGCCTTCCTTCAGGTGTGTCCAAGGACTCGGACCCGGCCTTCCTGGGCGCCGCCGAGCAGTTGTGTGACGACCTGGGCACAGGCAGCCTGCCCGCCGCAGACCTGCTGGCCCTGGACCACATGCGGGCGCTGCTGTTCCTGCAGGACCCCGGGGAGCTGCAGCGCGCCCTGCAGGTGTTCACGGGGCGCTGCACCCTGCCGCCAGGTACGTGCGCCAGGGACCGCCCGATCGCCCCACAGCCGCCTTGGAGTCAGACACAGCAGGCAGGGGTGGCCGGAGGGGAGTCCCCCGAGGAGGGTCTGCCCTGCGGACGGTTGTGAGAAAACCTGTGCGTCAGCTTCCAGGCCTGGGAGCTGCAGGCCTTAGGGCCACGTTTTCCTTAGTTTAAATGAAATGGAAGTGAAAGAATTCATTTCTTCTGATCTTTTCTGCCCCCTCCACTGCCCTGGGAGAGGGTCAGGGTTGTCTGTTCCTCCGGTGTGGAGGGTGCCTCACCGAGCCCGCGCGGAAGCAGTTGAATGATGAGGTGGCGTCCTGCTCTGCCGCCTCCGCCTGACCTTCACTGGGTCCCTCTGCGCAGACCGCAGGTGCAGAGCCCACAGCCTCTCCCCAGGGCTCTGGTGGTGGCTCCGCGTCTGGGACATTAGGCCGCAGAAATCTGCAACACGCATCGGAAAACCGGGCTTTAGAGCCGCTGGAGCTGGACAGCACTGTGCCGGACACGGAACAATCTCGGACGCGGTTTCAGTTAAAGCAGGGTCTCCAGCCTCAGACGTCTCTGTCGCTGAAACAGACTGAGATTCACCGACAGCAAATCAGATGAGTCAGGAAAGCAGCCCCGCTGGGCCCCGCGTGATTGACAGGTGGATGGCAAGGCCGGGAGGGGACTTGGTGACCAGGGCAGCCGCCCTGTGCCTGGCACGTTCTCCAGGATTTGCAGGGACAGAAAATGCAAAGCCTGTGAGATGCCCCACAGCGGTGTGGCCTCAGAGGAGAAGGCAGGAAGGGTCCTGTGGGCGGAGGAGGTGACGGCTGTCACGGGCCCCCTGGGGCCACGCGGATGTGCTGGTTCGTGGTCGGAGAGGACGGGGCTCCGGGGACTCTGGCACCAGGGCCACTGCACTGGGCAAGGCTTCCCGGCGGTCAGGCCAGGACTGAGGGGCTGAGATCACCTCCCAGGGGGTGCAGGATGGTGAGACCCATGGAGGTTCGGAGTAGGACCAGCAGGTGTGCTGAATGAGCAGGTGTGGGATGTGAGAGACATCAGAGGGGGGTTTGGATGGAGTCTCCGGGTTGATCGGGGTGGGTCCAGAGGGGAGAGGGGCAGTGGAGGGTGCAGACTGCACCGCCGGGGCTGGGGCTGGAGGGGAGAGGCCTCGCGGTTGTATTTTAAGTGGGAGAAATGGCAGCCGTGTCGCTGCTGGGGGAGGGGCGGCCGGGTCTGCCTGCGGTGAGCAGCTCTGGGCAGCCAGGTCTGAGCCAGACGCAGGGAGGTCGCGTTGCCCCCCGGGGCCAGGAGTCTGACCAGCTGGACTGGCGGTCAGCGGCACGGACGAGTCTTCACCGGTTAGGCAGCTGGACTCTGAGGAGCCCTTCCCTGGGGCCCGATTCTCCCCGAGACTGAGGGACGGGATGTCACAGGCCTTCGTGAGACGTGAGCGCTGGGCCAGCACCAGTTCTGGGGCTGGGACTCTGCTCAGCTTCTCGCTGGCTCGCTCCCCGTCGGCGCTCCAGTCGAGCTCTGCGTGGTTCTCTGGCGAGACGGCGGCCGTGCCGTGGGACACTGGGCCCTGCGTCTGCAGGCTCCGTCCCCGGGGAAGGGCGAGTGCAGGGCGTGTCCACCCTCCTGCCGTGGGGGCCGTGCAGCCACCCAGTGCTGACCGCACCGCCCACGCCACCCCCACCCCCGCTGCATGTCATCAGGTTAATTCAGTGGTCACTTTGGGCCAAAGGCGAATATCCACAAACTAATAATCTGTAATGTTTCTTGTTTTGTTTTGTTTTGTTCTGGTTTTGTGTTTGCCCTGCAGACCAGGCCAGAGTGATCTCCGCTTTCTTTAGTTACTGGATCACCCACGTCCTTCCGGGGAAGCAGTGAGTCTGCCTCAGGGGCTGATAGGCAGCGAGTGGGCACCAGACCAAGGAGAGGAGCCAAGACGGCACCTTCCCCCGAGGTGGGATTCCCTGGGTGTCCTCAGTGCCCGGCCCTGCACCTGCGAGGACGTTCCTGCCACGTCACCGGCTCGGGTGCCCACGTGCCGGGAAGGTGTCGTCTGCGACCGCACGAGAAGTGGACAGGACAGAAAGTTCCCACTTTCCAGACATCACATATGTCTCGAATTACTGCCCAGTGATTCTGTTTTTTAATTCCTGCAACCAGTGCCCTGGCCAATTTGGCTCAGTGGTACAGCATCGGCCCTCGGACCAATGAGCCGTGGGTTCGATTCCAGCCAAGGGCACGTACCTCAGGGGTGGCTCAGCCCCGGCCCTGGTTGGGGTCATGCGGGAGGCAGCCAGTCGATGTGTCCCTCTGACATCAACGTTTCTCTCTCTCTTCCTGCCATTCTATCTGAAGATAGATAAAAAAAAAAGTATCCTCGGGTGAGGATTGAAAAATATAAAAATAAAAATCCTGTAACAATTGAAAACGCACATTCTGGTGCACATCCTGGTCAAGGGCAGGGACCTGTGCTGCAGGGTCAGTGCCCACCCCAGGGCGGGGTTGCGAGGGAGGCAACCGGCGTGACTCACTTGGAGGCTCCCCTGCCGCCCACCCCCCTCCACTCGGACCCAGAATCGGGAAGTGCCCTCGGGTCACGCGGGTCAGCAGGGAGGAGGAGGAGGAGGAGGAAGAAGCTGCATGTCCCGTGAAGAGTGAGCTGGGGTGTGACGCCGTCTGTGTCCACGCAGAGTCTCGACCACGTGTTGGAACGTCTGTGGAGAAGCCCGACGGGTGTCAGGTGCTGTGGTTTGTAGTTTGTATGTTTCATTTTCCTCCTTCCTACTCTACCCAACGCTCGGCCCTTCGACAGGGAGCGGTCAGCAGTTGGCAGTGTTTTGAGGTATGAAAGCCTGTCCCTGGGCACAGCCTTTAGGGGGCTCAGCGCCTCCCTGAGCACACCCTCTGCCGTGGTGACGGGCCCCTCACAGCCGACTGAACACACCCTCTGCCGAGGTGACGGGCCCCTCACAGCCGACTGAACACACCCTCTGACGGGGTGACGGGCCCCTCACAGCCGACTGAACACACCCTCTGCCGTGGTGACGGCCCCCTCACAGCCGACTGAACACACCCTCTGCCGTGGTGACGGGCCCCTCACAGCCGACTGAACACACCCTCTGCCGTGGTGACGGGCCCCTCACAGCCGACTGAACACACCCTCTGCCGAGGTGACGGGCCCCTCTCAGCCGACTGAACACACCCTCTGATGGGGTGACGGGCCCCTCACAGCCGACTGAACACACCCTCTGCCGTGGTGACGGGCCCCTCACAGCCGATTGAACACACTCTCTGCCGTGGTGACGGGCCCATCTCAGCCCACTAAGCACCATGACCCTTGGCGCTGCTGTGCGCACACTGTTCCCCATTGAGGCTGACTGGCGCTGTGGTGTGGACAGGCCCATCTTGTCACCCGTTGCCCATCGATGGGCCATGTAGGTTCCCATTTTTCTGCTATGAATCGTCTGCCGTGAACATCACCTACAGGATCTGGGTGAGGTTTGTTTTTGTCTGAAGAATTGCTGGTTGCAGGTGACCTGGGCGGCCGTGTGGGAGGGCACGTTCCCACCTCCCTCGGGCTGTCCACCCGGAGGCCGGCCTGGAGGACAGTTCTCAGGACAGCCTGGTCCACATTTCCCGATGAGCCCCCCCGCCTCCTGCCTGCTCGAGCCCCCCCCCCCCCTGAGAAGTGCCCTCCGTGAACTGGGGGCTTCGTTTTCATTGAGTCACGAGAGTGTCACTAGAGCTGTGGCCCCTCCCCTGTCACCACGGCTCAGACGAGCAGACTGGTCCTTCCTGGGTCACGGGTGCAGCGGGCACATCCGGGCTCAGCCCTCCCGGCTCAGAAAGGCCTCCCCCAGGCAGCGTGGGCTCGCGGGAACGAGGTCCCCAGGATGGAGGTGTCCTCGCCCCGGCCCTCAGCTGACGGAGCAGGAAGGGTGTGTGCACAGGTGGTGAGGAGACACAGGCAGAGCCATCATCTCAACTCTCTGTGGACTGAGCGTGCTCACAGCACACGCTGGGAGGAAGGGTGTGAGGGGCACACAGGGTGACCCGTCTGAAGGAGAATGACTGTCCCTGCAGAACTGCGGGCAGTGTGAACGGCACCGTGTGGTCTTCCGACTTGTCACCTCAGGCCTGCGCCCTGCTGGCCCGATGAGGGTGAGGGGTGGCCACCATCGGCCATGACACCCAGTGGCACTGTCCCTGAATGACGAGCCCTCTGCACAGGTAGGTGGGTGGCCACCCCCTGAGGGTCTCGCCTCCTCGTGTTCAGCCCTCAGCAGTTCAGACCTGGGAACAGCCCCCTCCCTCCACTGCCCTGGCCTCCTGCTCTCCAGGAGCCGCCCACATGGCCAGCGACCTCTGCTCTGCAGTGAGGGACCTCGCGGGGCCACCGTCCTCCGCCACTCGGCAGCTCGGCGTGGCCAGGGGCTCACCCGGCGTGTCTGTGGGGGCGGCCGTCGCTCAGCGCCACACAGCACTCGGAACAAGCAGAGAAGTGAGGCCGGTGCCTCCCCCGCGCCGGGACTACATTTCCCATGTGACCAGCTGTGAGGACCGTCCGTGAGGAGACGGTCACTCAGAGACCACGTGACAAGTCATCCTAATGGCTCGCCTTGTCCTGCTGTGAAACACCCACCTCAGAGCTGATGTCACCCGTCGGTACAGCCGCTTCAGGGCTGGGGTCGCGCAGAGACCTGAGGAGCTGCTCACTGCCCGAGGACAGGACGCTCCGAGGGGCCTGGGTGTGGCCGGCCACTTCCTGGCCTAGTCTGGGCCCAGGGGCCCTCGGCCTCCTCTGTCTTGCAGGGAGACCAGGGCCTGCCCGGGGGCGTTAGGTGCAGCGTGGTGGTACTCGGCAGGGGCACCGCATCCTCGTCCCTGCCCCAGGCCCTCGTCCCTGCCTGCCTCCCGCACGCTGACAGATGCCGTCTGGCGCCCGGAGCTGGCGTGGCCCTTGGTGCCAGGAGGGAAGCTCCCGACGCTCTTGGGGCCAAACAACATCCCCACACGTGTTCTCCTCTCCCCTCGGGTTTGAGCTGTAACTTGTGTCTGTGGTGCCAGCGTCCTGAACGCAGGGCCCCGGGGGAAGCGAGGGGTGTGACTGCCGGGCCCGAAGGTCCCGTTGTCCCCAGCTGTCCCTCGCCGGCGGGAGCCCACCCAGCATGCCCCTTGCCAGGTTCCTGCTGCCCCGTGTGTGCAGGAGGTCCCCATGTGTGTGTCCGTGTGCCGTGTGCGTGTTTGCCGTCTCTGAACATGCGTCTCAGTCATGACTCGTGATCAGTGCTCTTGAAGTTCGGTGAACAGTCTCCGGTTCTTGGGTGCGCTCGGCCCCTCTGACTGCAGCGTCACCTCCACGCTCCGCGTCTGCAGAGCCCACGTCTCATGACCCTCAGGGATGCAGCCTCGGTTTCTCTCCAGGTAGCGAGCAGGTTTCTCAGTCAAGTCTCAGGAGGTTCTGTTGGCCGCCTTGCTGGGACCCCAGGCCTGCAGGACCGGACCCTCTTTCCGGACCCCGCTCGGGGTTGCCTGTTTCTCCTGCAGCACCTTCCACGTCCACGGGCGAGGCCCTGTGTCCTCTGGCCTCAGCCAGGGCCTCCCCCGCGGCCTCTGCTCTGGAACTGACAGCTGCCTGCGTGGAAACGTCCCTGGTGTTTTCCAGTTGACCTGAGTCTCCAGCTGGCACCTTCGCTGCATTTGAACAAGTACTGACACCTTCACAGTTTAATCAACATCGTCACATCCCAGACACGAACCTCCCCGTGGAGCTCACCTCCCTCGACCGTCCACGGGGAACAAGGCCTGTCCACAGAGGGGTGGTGCGCCCTTCCAGGGGAGACCCTCTGTCCTCCACGTCTGCGCAGGCGCCTGGTGGGGCCGTGTGGATGGTGCCCCCGCAGGAGGGTCAGTGACCAGACCCCGCGCGTGAGCAGCTGTGCGCATGTGTCGGTCTGGGTGCTCTGCCTACCTGGGGCCTGCACACCTGGGGCCTGCACACCTGGGGCTACACACCTGGGGTCTGCACACCTGGGGCCTGCAC